AAGTACAAAAAAAGTAGCGTTTTTAAGAAAAGGCTTATAGCACTATAGTTATGTGTAATATAAGATACTATTATTTTATTAATAAAAAAAATGCTTTCTGTGTTCTTACATTAGTGTATTTAAAATTGATCATGATATACATTATTTTAAAATGTCATGATTTGCCCCATTCCCTAGATCGCCCAATCTGTTTTCCATTATTCTTCATTAGCTGTAAACAATGCCTACACATTACACTACACATTTCTTCTACTCAATTAAGAGACACTGGGCGCACTATTTTATCACTTGATTATTCTGTTTTAGTGTACAATACAAAGTTGCCACATGAGCTCTAGTGTGTTATACCTAATTGATTATTCTCCAGTTCTCCACCATCTGTGTTACTATCTCCAATCCTGACCTCGGATCATGTTCAGACCATGTCTTTCCAAATGCCTCTCCAAATTCCGGGCCCACCTCCGCTAGCCCACCATGTGCTAACTCCAGGAATCACAATAATCTCATACTCATCTCATTTATTGTGTAATAATATTATTTTTGTATTTTATTGTACCCTAATGTAACAATGCAATGATTTGTGGACCCGGGACATACTTGAAAACGAGAGAAATTTCAATGTATCTTTCCTGGTAAAATATTTTATAAATAAATAAATGTCACTCTTCCTTTAAATCCTCCTTCCATACTGCCCTCTGGAATGCACGCTCTGTTTGCAGTGTTACAAAATCCACTGCTGTGCATGAACTTTTCATCTCTCGCTCCCTAGACTTACTAGCCTTAACAGAAACATGGCTATCTCCCTCTGACACCGCTATCCCTGCCTCTCTATCCTTTGGTGGTCTTCAATTTTCTCACAACCCAGGACACTCAGAAAGCAAAGGTGGTGGTGAAGGGTTACTGCTCTCGCCTCACTGCTCCTTCACACCTCTACCCACCCCCCCTTCCCTCTCTTTCTTTTCATTTGAATTTCATTCAATTTCCCTTTTCAAACCTATCTCTGCTAACATTGATGTTATCTATTATAGAAACATAGAAACATAGAATGTGACGGCAGATAAGAACCATTTGGCCCATCTAGTCTGCCCAATTTTCTAAATACTTTCATTAGTCCCTGGCCTTATCTTATAGTTAGGATAGCATTATGCCTATCCCACGCATGCTTAAACTCCTTTACTGTGTTAACCTCTACCACTTCAGCTGGAAGGCTATTCCATGCATCCACTACCCTCTCAGTAAAGTAATACTTCCTGATATTATTTTTAAACCTTTGTCCCTCTAATTTAAGACTATGTCCTCTTGTTGTGGTAGTTTTTCTTCTTTTAAATATAGTCTCCTCCTTTACTGTGTTGATTCCCTCTATGTATTTAAATGTTTCTATCATATCAACCCTGTCTCGTCTTTCTTCCAAGCTATACATGTTAAGATCCTTTAACCTTTCCTGGTAAGTTTTATCCTGCAATCCATGAACCAGTTTAGTAGCCCTTCTCTGAACTCTCTCTGAGGTATCAATATCCTTCTGAAGATATGGTCTCCAGTACTGAGTACAATACTCCAAGTGAGGTCTCACCAGTGTTCTGTACAATGGCATGAGCACTTCCTTCTTTCTACTGCTAATACCTCTCCCTATACAACCAAGCATTCTGCTAGCATTTCCTGCTGCTCTATTACATTGTCTGCCTACCTTTAAGTCATCAGAAATAATCACCCCTAAATCCCTTTCCTCAGATGTTGAGGTTAGGACTCTATCAAATATTCTGTACTCTGCCCTTGGGTTTTTACGTCCAAGATGCATTATCTTGCACTAATCCACATTAAATGTCAGCTGCCACAACTCTGACCATTTTTCTAGTTTACCTAAATCATTTTCCATTTGGCTTATCCCTCCTGGAACATCAACCCTGTTACATATCTTAGTATCATCAGCAAAAAGACATACCTTACCATCAAGACCTTATGCAATATCACTAATAAAAATATTAAAGAGATTGGGTCCAAGTACAGATCCCTGAGGTACCCCACTGGTGACAAGCCCAAGCTTTGAATATACTCCATTAACTACAACCCTCTGTTGCCTGTCACTCAGCCACTGCCTTATCCATTCAACAATATTGGAATCCAAACTTAAAGATTGCAGTTTATTGATAAGCCTTCTATGTGCAACAGTGTCAAAAGCCTTACTGAAATCTAGGTAAGCAATGTCTACTGCACCACCCTGATCTATAATTTTAGTTACCCAATCAAAAAAATCAATAAGGTTAGTTTGGCATGATCTCCCTGAAGTAAACCCATGTTGTCTCTGATCTTGAAATCCATGTGTTTTTAGATGTTCAACAATCCTATCCTTTAACATGGTTTCCATCACTTTCCCCACTACTGAAGTAAGGCTTACTGGCCTATAGTTGCCCGACTCCTCCCTATTACCTTTCTTGTAAATGGGCACAACATTCGCTAACTTCCAATCTTCTGGGACTACTCCTGTTAACAATGATTGGTTAAATAAATCTGTTAATGGTTTTGCTAGTACACCACTAAGCTCTTTTAACAGCTTTGGGTGTATTCCATCAGGTCCCATTGACTTATTTGTCTTTACTTTTGACAGTTGAAATAGAACTTCTTCCTCTGTAAACTCACGTGTAATAAATGACTCATTTATCCTTTTTCTTAACTGAGGTCCCTTTCCTTCATTTTTGTCTGTAAATACCAAACAAAAATATTCATTGAGGCAGTCAGCTAGACCTTTATCCTCTTCTACATACCTTCCTTCTCCTCTCCTCTCCTCTTCCTTGACCACTTTGCTGCTTGGCTTCCCTACTTACTCTCCTCTAATATTCCATCCCTAATTCTTGGGAACTTCAACATTCCCATTAACCTAGATGCACAATGACACAAAAATTTAATTCAGCACTGGAGCAAAATGATAATAATCCACAAGCAGCTTGAATACCAATACTGAGTCACTATTTTCCGATCAAAACAATGTATAAAAACAGGGGGGGTAGGTGCAGCACTTCAGTAATCCTTGACAAGGTATATATGGAGAGAACCAGGGAAGAAATAATAGTGTAGTATTTAAAACGGTAGTGGTGATAGGTAAGATAAAAGATGTGCACTCACACTTTCCTGGAGCTTCAATACAGCTCTAGTGTATGCGCCTGGGAAGAATAATCCCTGCCTATGGATCAAGTGCAGAGATAATTCTTCAAATTATAGGTGTAGTAGTGGGTATCCACATAAAGAATAAAAAAATAAAAATCATATATGGTGAAATATGTAGAGCTTTGAAGTAATTGTAGGTAAAAACAATAAAATGTACACTCACGTGTAATGGAGCTGTAAAACCTGGCTCCTCTGATAGTGCTTGAAGTGGTATGATCCCCACTTAAGGATACAGGTGTAAATATAAATTCTTCCGTCTATGTATATGTGGTGATAAACAAACAGAACCACAATAGTGTAAACCGTAAAAAGGAGTGTAAGCAAAAATAAATAAGTTAAACCTACTCACATGCTAAAGAGCAAGTTCTGGTTTGCTCGATCCAGAGCGCTTGGGTGGTATGATCTCCACCCGGGATATAGCTCCAAACAATCCAACAGCAGCAAAGTTAGGTCCAATTAAAAAAGTACTTTAATATTAAAAAATAATAAAAGTAATACAATATATATTAAAATAAAATAGAGATAAAAAAGTTATAAACCATACACTTAACGCCTTTCTCCTTGGATACACTTTATCAAAAGTGTTTTACAAAAAGTGTAAATTTCATAGTTTTTATCTACATAGTGTAATACAATTTAAAAAAACCAAATTGTATAAACGTAATGCACTCACAAGATTACGTGAAAATAGCGCTCTAGGGTGCCTCCCCAGATATCAGTGGGGGGCTAAGTGAACCCTTCTGTTGTTCACCGATGGATACACAATGCAGGACTCCAGTGATGGTGAAAAAATAGCAGCTTTATTGATAAAGTGAAAAAAAATTCCACCAAATAATCATAAAATATAATATAAAATAAAATATGAAATACCAATAGGTCCTACGCGTTTCGTTCACTATATGTGAACTTCCTCAGGGACAATAAAGTAAAAATAATAATTACAAAACAATAACAAAATGAAAAAGCAGCCTAATTCCCCCATCCCCACAGTCCCAATATATAGGGCTACTCTCTGTGTCCATAATGGAATTCATGGACGTCTTCCTGTTTCTCGATCTTCATTGGTCCGGTCGGATCTCTTCCTCAGCTGTTAGGGAATTTCTTGTTTCCAATTAAAGAAAAGCCCGCGTTCTTATCCGTGAAGCCGGAACCGGAAGTGACGTCAATCACAGGCTTTCTCGTTCCACCGCGTTCCACCTTATCAATTAAGATGCTGTTTTTTCACCATCACTGGAGTCCTGAATTGTATATCCATCGGTGAACAACAGAACATTTAGCCCCCCACTGCTATCGGAGGAGGCACCCTAGAGCACTATTTTCACGTAATTTTGTGAGTGCATTACATTTATACAATTTGGGTTTTTTAAATTGTATTACACTATGTATGTTTTTTGTTTGTTTTAGATTTACAGCCGTATCCCAAATTCTTTTGTTGTCTTGTATTCTTGCTGTGTAAAGGTCACCTTTTCTGGGTAGTGACCCGGGAGGCTGTCACACTATATCTTTGAGATAAGTATTAATTTTCACGCTTTGGGGCATATTTAGTGCCTATATATTGTTTTTTTTTATAGTTTTTACCTACCCTTGCGTCATAGCTCTACATACTTCACCCTATACAATTTTCATGTGTTTATTTTTTATGAGGATACACCCTACCACACCTATAATTCGAAGAATTACCTCTGCACTTGATCAATAGGTGGGTATTATTCCTCCCAGGCGCATACACTGGAGCTGTATAGAAGCTCCAGGAAAGTGTGAGTGCACATTTTTTATCTTACCTATTACCACTACAGTTTTAAAATACTACACTATTATTTCTTCTCTGGTTCTCTCCACATATGTAGAAGGAAGGGAAGGCACCTAGATGCCAAAATCCCAACTTGGGGTGTGTCGAACTTTCTTTTAGGGGATAACCCTTGTATATACACAGTAGGTAAGTAGATAGGTGAGTAATCCTGAGCTAAAAATAGCAATAGGAGCTCAAAGAAGAAAGTTCTGCAAAAGATGCTAATATGACATATATCTAAAAGATAGCTTTATTGGAAAAGGGTCTACTCAAGGTATGATCCCTAATAAAAGAGACAGACTTAATTAAACTAAATACACCATAACCACTAAAACGTAATGATATACATTAGGAGTAATGGACTCCAACACAAAATCTAGAGAGAGAGCTGGGAAGAAAATATCTGTAGCCACAATACTAATATCGAGCAGCAAGAATCCCTAAACACCAATCCTGATGTGTACAGGCCCATATGTGGTGAAAGAGTAAGAGAGAAAGAGACTAGAATACAGAATATGTCTGTATCTGTCTGACTGCCAGACGGAATATTAAATACTGAAGCTTGTTGAGCGCCGAAACGTGCGTTAGGTCCTTTTCTTCTTTTATTTTAAACTTCTTACCTCGTAGATGTGATCACAGGGTGGGGGCTATGGACTCCAATATCTAGTTATATTAGCTGACAATAGCCATCTGTGATTAGCAGCATAGAATGAGAGTAGAATCTTTTTTCCTTTACAGGACCAGCTAGAAACGCCTTACACGAGCAGCGCTAGCAGTCAGCAACTTTTTTGATCTCCTTTGACAGACCGGGCTTTTCGCATGCAAATAGCAGTGTCTAAGCTAATTACTTTCATACAGAGGAGATACTCTGTTTCCGTGCTGACATTTGAGTGAACGCTTTATTGATACTGTTTCAGTATTTAATATTCCGTCTGGCAGTCAGACAGATACAGACATATTCTGTATTCTAGTCTCTTTCTCTCTTACTCTTTCACCACATATGGGCCTGTACACATCAGGATTGGTGTTTAGGGATTCTTGCTGCTCGATATTAGTATTGTGGCTACAGATATTTTCTTCCCAGCTCTCTCTCTAGATTTTGTGTTGGAGTCCATTACTCCTAATGTATATCATTACGTTTTAGTGGTTATGGTGTATTTAGTTTAATTAAGTCTGTCTCTTTTATTAGGGATCATACCTTGAGTAGACCCTTTTCCAATAAAGCTATCTTTTAGATATATGTCATATTAGCATCTTTTGCAGAACTTTCTTCTTTGAGCTCCTATTGCTATTTTTAGCTCAGGATTACTCACCTATCTACTTCTCTCCACATATACCTTGTCAAGGATTACTGAAGTGCTGCACCTACTCCCCTGTTTTTATTCCCTTGTCAGTAGCCTCAAAAGTGCTTTCAATTACCTCCTTGGGCTATCGTAGTGGTCCCCCACCCATGTAGCTGGCAATACACTTGATCTTATTTTCGCTCATGAATGTACAATCTCTAATCTCTGCAACACTCCATTTCCTCTCTCAGATCACCCCCTCTTATCATTTGCTCTCAATAGCCGCCTACCCCATCATCCTCAACCTATTCCCCTTCAACTAAGAAGAAATCTGAATTATATTGACCTCCAGCAGCTTTCAGCTAATATTGATTCCCAACTTCTATCCATCCCTACTTTCTCCTGTTCCTCACTGGCTATCTCCTCATATAACACTACCCTCACCTTTGCCCTGGATGCTGCAGCCCAGCTCGAAACATGCGCCTTGAGGAGAACATGCCCCCAACCATGGCACACTAAATTAACATGCTACCTGCAGAGATGCTCCAGTTCTGCTGAACGCTGCTGGAAGAAGTCACACACCCAGTCTGACTTCCTCCACTGCAAATTCATGTTGCGTTCATACAGCACAGCCCTTGCCAAACAGTCATACTTTCCCTCCCTCATTAGCTTTTTAATGCCTTTAACTCCCTTCTTTGCCCTACTATGGCAACGCCCCAAGCTAAGCTTACAGCCGATAGCTTTGCATGCTACTTTACTGATAAATACAATACATACAATAGGTGGATCGCACTCCTTAAAATCTCTAAAAGAGAATAAAATAAAAACAACACAATAGTGTAATACAGTAAACAAATGGATATCCAGAGTATAAATGTAGATGATCAGGTACTCACAAACCGAGAGCCAAACAAGGACATGTGGCTCTCATGGGAATAGCGCTGGGACCATTTGTAGGATGTCCCCTTCCTTCTGTAGATCTTCTAATGGCCAAAAAGAACACGCAGGAAACACTTACTTGAAACAGTAAAGTGTTTATTAATCCCAATAAAAACAGGAGCAAATATAAGGAGAGTATCTCCAATAAAACATAAAATAGTCCAATATAATAAAAAGAGTCCAAAAAAGGAGTCTCTGGGTTACCAAAACGCATTTTGCCCTATAGTCAGGGCTTCCTCAGTCGAAAGATGAAGGTATCTACTGGGCTCTAATATTCCTAATATTCCTAAACTCCTTTGGGTAGTAAAAATCTTCTCCAGGGTCTCAGGAATACAGAGATCCTTCAGATTTCATTGGGGGAGAAATGTCCTGTTGGATCAAAGAACAGGGAAATGTTGAAAATCAAGTACTACTGGGTTACTTTTGTTAACAATATATCCGTATGAAGACCAGTAGGAAATGAATTGTTAGAATAATATTAATAGGAGCTGAATATCCATTGCTTTAGCATTCAAGTATCATCTGCAGCTATTTCAACTAAACACTCAGGACAATGTCCTTGTAATATTTCCAGGGTGTAACAGATTTGCTTTAACCATAATGCAACTGTACATCTGCCATTATCTGTTCTCTTTTAACATTCAACATTGTTTGAATATTTATACAGTGAATGTTTGTGTATCTGTTCTATGGCTTGCAGGAATACAACAACAGTAATTACAGGGGAAGTGATTGCGGTCCTAAAAAAATCCTTCCCGCTTGCTTCCCAGTGTGTTTATATAACCTGTGAAAAGCATACACACACGTCCACCATATGAAAGAATCATTAAGGGAAAACAAAGGAGTGTTTTTGTTGTAATGCTACCATCTTCCGTGCAATGCTGAGATGTCTTTAAAGCAAAGTTTTCTTCAACACAAGCTGTGATAAACCATCTGTCCCTAAAATGTATCACTGCGGGATACCTGTTCAAACCAAGACCCTTCTGATGTTTATACCCCATTGCGCCAGGCTGGAATTTCAGAGGAGATAAAAAATTAAATTGCAATAACAGGCCGTGTAAAACAACAACAAAAAAATCCACTCTATTTTAGTTTACCAATTCAATTTTTCTTTAGTCTAGTCATGCTGTATGAATGCAACAATGTTTGGCTTCTGCTTAAGAATTTTTCGTTTCCCTTTTCATTTTTGTTCCTGAGGCTCTTTAAACTGTCAACGTTTATAAGTATATTGAGAGAGTCAATTATCAGACTGTCTTAATGGTTCCAAGAATATATTCCCAGTCCTTGAATTGCATGGCTATTTAGTAGCTTGGCACCAAAAGCTTAGAACATTGTATTGTATTAGTAGTGTTATATTAGTGTGAGTTTAGAGGGAGTTCAAAAGCATTGAAAACCTTTCTTTAACCTATTGTTGAAGAACCATTGTTCATTCTGTGCTTTGTAAGGTGAAGTAAAAAACACAGAAACTAGGAAAAGCAACAACTTAATGTCCAAAAGTTCAGCTGCACCACAATAATTAGTAAGTGAATATGCCCTTGGTACTTCCACAAAACAGCTCAAACCCAAATTTACAAAGTGTCTAATTTTTTTACTTACCCGAATTTCCAAACTGAACCAAATTTGTTGCCCATGCACATCCCTACTTTCAAAGATCTTGGAGGCAAATGGCAGTAGCGAGATAGGGCAGTAGTTGGATTGGAAGTTGAGGTCAGAGACAGAGTGCAAATGAGGTTTGAGGGAATAGGATCGAGGAAAAAGGGGGTGGCGCTGGCGGACCAGAGCATAGCAGAAACCTCTTCTGCTTTAGTGGGTGCAAATTAGCATAGTACGGAGAAGGGAGTGGGGTTGGAGGAGATATTGGTAGGGTAGGGAGTGAAATGAGAGATCTCTTCCCTGATTGTAGAAATTTTCTCAGTAAAGTAAGTTGCAAAGTTTGTGGAGGATAAGGTGGTAGAAGGGGGGAGAGCCACAGGGTGAAGAAGAACATTAAAAATGTGAAATAGGAATTTGAGTTTGTAGGACAGTGTGCTTATGAGGGTGTTGAAGTAGTTTACTTTTACAGAACAAAGGGCCAAACTGTAGGAGCACAACATAAAGTTATAGTGATGGAAATCAGACACAGAGTGAGACTTTCTCCAGCAGCATTTAGCAGTTCTGGAAATTTTTGGACGATTTGGGTCAGCTTGGTGTGCCAGGGTTGTAATTGGTAGTGCTTGCTGCGTTTAATTGTAGGAGGTACCATAATGTCTAGTTGAGAAGAGAGAGTGGAGTTGTATAGTAAAGTTGCAGAGTTAAGACATGTGAGATTTGAGATGGGTAAAAGGAGAGTTTGGAGTCTGGTGGAGAATTGCTGGAGGTCAAGGCAGGGGAGGTTTCTCTGAGATTGGTGAGTTGAGGGTGGTGTAATTTGGGTATGGGGTATGCCAATATCAAAGTTCAGCAGGTGGTGGTCAGAAAGGGGAAATTGAACATTGGAGAGATTAGAGGTGGTACAGAGATTGGTGAAGATGAGATTAAGACTTGTTCCTGCTGTATGAGTTGCTGAAGTAGACCACTGTGTGAGAACAAAAGAGGAGGTTACAGAGAGCAGATGGGAGGCATCAGGGCAGTTGAGGTTGTTGATTGTGGTTGTTAAAGTCCCCAAGTATTAGCAAAGGACTGCTAGAAGAGAGGAAGTGGAGGAGCCCGGAAGAAAATTATTCAATGAATAGCCTAGGATGACCGGGGGCAAAATAGGAAATGGATGATAGCGAACTCTCTTTACATCCTATATTTAAAAAGAAATGCATTTTATAGATAAATATATTTAAACACTAAAGCCTGCCTATAAGCACAGTGTGTGTTGTTTTGTAATAGGTACCTGTGATATTTGTGATAAGTCAGATGTATTCAAATGCAAACAGGGTTATTTACGAAAGTGAGAATTCAAGGTGTATTCAATGTGAATTTCAAAATTTAAGGTTAATATAGCTTAACTGGAAAAATAGTCAGCTATGCTTTATGTAGCCTTGACGTAGAAGCCCTTTACTCATCCATACCCCACAAAGGAGACATCCAACATGTTAAACACTATCTTGACAAAAAGGGACCTAACTTCCAGGACCATTCTAGGTTTGTTCTGGAACTTCTAGAATTTAATCTTCACCACAACTACTGTCTCTTTAACGATAAGTTTTACCACCAAATATGGGGCACTGTGATGGGGACAGCTTGTGCCCCATCGTATGCCAACCTACATCTAGGCTGGTGGGAGGAAGTAGTTGTGGCGTCTGACCGTTTTTCGTCATATAGGCCCATTATACATCTTTGGGCCAGATA